TTCGGCTCAGGTCATGATCTCATAGTTCGTGGGTTCAAGCCCCGCGTCAGGCTCTGTGCTGACAGCTCGAAGCCTGCAGCCTGTTTCGGATTCTGTATCTCCCTCTCTTTCTGACCCTCCCCTGCTCATGCGCTCTCTCTCTCTCTCAGAAATAAATAAAACATTTTAAAAAAATTTAAAAAAGACAAAAGTGTTGGTGAGGATATGAAGAAAAGGGAACTCTTGTGCACTCACTGTCTGTTGGTGGGAATGCAAACTGGTGCGGCTGCAATGGAATACAGTTTGACAGTCCCACCAAAAATTAAAAACAGAAGTACGATATGATCCAGCAATTCTACTTCTGGGTATGTATCTGAAGAAAAAGAAATCACTATCTAGAAAATACATCTGCACCCCCATGTTCCCTGCAGCATTATGTACAATGGACGCAGACATGGACACAACCTAAGTGTCCATCAACAGATGAATGAATAAAGAAGACGTGGTATACACATATACAATGATATTATTCAGCCATTAAAAAAAAGAAAATTCTGCCAATTGTCACAACATGGACTGGACCCTGATGACATTACACTAAGTGAAATAGGTCCTACAGAGAAAGATAAAAATTGTATATCACTTATGTGTGGAATCTAAAAACAAAACTCACAGATACAGAGGACAGGCTGGTACTTGCCAGAAGCAGGGAATAGGGAGTTGGGCAAAATGAGTGAAAGTGATCAAAGGTAAAACTTACAGTTATAATATGTTCTGGAGATGTAACGTACAGCATTGGTGACTAAAGTTAACAATACTGTATCACAAGGGCACCTGGGTGGATCAGTCGGTTAAATGTCTGACTTCGGCTCAGGTCACGATCTCACAGTTCGTGGGTTTGAGCCCCGCATAGGGCTCCGTGCTGACAGTTAGCTCAGAGCCTGGAGCCTGTTTCAGATTCTGTGTCTCCCTCTCTCTCTGACCCTCCCCTGTTCATGCTGTCTCTCTCACTCTCTCTCAGAAGTAAATAAAAAACATTTAAAAAAATTGCATCTCAAAAAAAAACTGGAGGGGCGCCTGGGTGGCTTAGTCGGTTAAGCGTCCGACTCTCGCTCAGGTCATGATCTCGCGGTTCGTGGGTTCGAGCTCCGTGTCGGGCTCTGTGCTGACTGCCAGCTCAGAGCCTGGAGCCTGTTTCAGTCTGTGACTCCCTCTCTCTCTGACCCTCCCCTGCTCACGCTGTCTCTCTCTCTCTCCTAGAAATAAAAAATATTTAAAAAAAAAAAAAACTGGAAAAAAGAACAAAAGGATATTCATTCATGTGAATGGTTACAAAATAAATAAAATCAGTCTTTTTCTGATATACCACATTCTTGTAAAGAAAATATAAAGGGAAAATATTTACCATCCACAACTAAATAGCATCCTGTATCTACAAATGTTCTTAAGACATGTACAGTAACCAAATAAAATTCTACATAACAAAAAAGATAGGAGATATGAATAAATGTTTGAATAAATGGAGAAATGTACCTTAGAAAAAGTAGCCTTACTTTTTAAAAAGAGGCCAACTTGATTTTTTTTTTTTTTTTTACAAATAGTTTATTGTCAAATTAGTTTCTAAGGCCAACTTGATTTAAATTTACTCCATACACAGGGTATTATCACTCAGAAACCCTACATGTGGGGAAAGTAGTGAAGAAACCAACAAGAAGATTCTAAGTTTCACATTCATATGCAAGTACAGCTGGGAGAGTTCTGAAAAACAGAAACACTAAGAAGGAATATAGCCTTAGCAGATGATTAAATCCACTGAATTAAAACATTATGGTTCTGGCTGGAAAAGATGGTTAAGTAACAAATTAAAATGTCCAACCTCAGATCCAAATAGGTACAGGGATTTAGTATTGAAGAAAGTGAGAATCTTGAATGAGCAAGGAGGATATACATTAGTGAATAAATGTTCATCTACTATGTAACCATTTGGGAAAAAAATGTCATTTCTCCGGTGCTCTTTGCATTATTTACGTTTGTTTTAAAAAAAAGTAAAGAACCTATAAAAGTAACAGAAGAAATTATGGACCAATTTTAAAGACAATACTGGGGGGGAAAAACCCTTCCTAAGTATGACATGAAGACAGGAACACCAGAAAAAAAGATTAATAAATTTAACTATAATAAATTAAATACTTCTGTATAGAATAAACACTCCAAGTGATATTGAAAGATTAATGGCCAGTAGGAAAAAGTACTTTTGTGAAAAGGTCTACTATCCTAATACACAAAAATCTCTTGGAGGGATTGTGGGAGGGGGGATGGGCTAAATGGGTAAGAGGCATGAAGGAATCTACTCCTGAAACTATTGTTGCACGATATGCTAACTAAACTTTGATGTAAGTTAAAAAAATAAATTATTTAAAAATATATATACAAAAATCCCTTAAAACTAATAAGAAAGTTCACCCCAACAGAAACATGAGCAAAATACAAAAGTACAGCACACACCAGAAACATTCTGGTTGTTCAAAAATACTAGTGGAAGGGGTGCCTAGGTGGCTCGGTCACTTAAGCATCCAACTTTGGCACAAATCATACTGTGGTTCATAAATTCAAGCCCCACACCGGGCTCTCCACTGCCAGCAAGAAGCCTGCTTCAGATCTTCTGTCTCCCTCTCCTATGCCTCCCCCCACCCCGCTTGTCCTTTCTCTTTCAAAAATAAATAAACATTAAAAAAAACTACTAGTGGGAGACGAAGTTCAGAAGAGTTGGAGAACTCACATTAAACTTTAGAGATTAAAATACAAAACAGAGCTTTCACTTGTGGAATAATAAAATGTTTTTCGTATGGTGCAAAGTATTTCAAACTTTACCTGATTACTCAAATACTGGTGTTATATATAGAACATGACTCTACTCTTAACTACAAGTCTTTCTCTAATAAACAACAACAACAAAAAGATATCCTACCTAGGGTACCCCACCACAGAGACCTGGCAGCCCCGGGTGTCCTCCGGTGGGGAAGGACCAACCTCGAGGACAGGCAAGGCCAGGTGCCCTGGCAGGGGACAGCTACATCATAGTCCTCCTCTCTTTGGACTCTCCGTCAAGTCCTGCTCTTGGTACTCTGGAGGTCTGGGAGTCCAGCTTCTGCAGCTCAAGTCAGCTGCCTGTCTCTCCACTGCTATGCCACACTACAGCTTTTTGGATTTCTAAGTCTGTTACGACTTGCCCTTTTGCTAGGAATAGCTTCCAAAATGTTGTCTCCCTTCTCTTTCCTCCTTTAATCTGTGTCCTTTAAGACTATGTTTAAAAAAAAAAAACCCCACAAACCCATCTCTGTCACTTTAAAGGGAGCTGAGGAGGAAGTGGAAGTAAAAGTGTATGGCTTCTATACATCACCTTCACCAGAAGTCTCAACACTTCAGAGATCACAATGTTCTACTTCCTGGGTATCATGGGTCTATTAAAAGTTCATTTCTAACTTTAAAAACATAAATACCATCCAAAATCTATAAGGAACTCACCAAACTCCACACCCAAAAAACAAACAATCCAGTGAAAAAATGGGCAGAAGACATGAACAGACACGTCTCCAAAGAGAACATCCAGATGGCCAACAGACACATGAAACGATGCTGAGCATCCCTCCTCATCAGGGAAATACAAATCAAAACCACACTGAGATACCACCTCAGGCCAGTCAGAGTAGCTAAAATGAGCAAATCAGATGACTCTAGATGCTGTCGAGGATGTGGAGAAAAGGGCACCCTCCTACACTGTTTGTGGGAATGTAAACTTGTGTAGCCCCTCTGGAAAACAGTGTGGAGGTTCCTCAAAAAATTAACAATAGAACTCCCCTATGACCCAGCAATAGCACTGCTAGGAATTTACCCAAGGGATAGAGGGGTGCTGATGCACAGGAGTACATGTACCCCAATGTTCATAGCAGCACTCTCCACATTAGCCATAACATGGAAAGAGCCTAAGTGTCCATCAACTGATGAATGGATCAATAAGATGTGGTTTATCTTTACTATGGAATACTACATGGCAATGAGAAATAATGAAATCTGGCCATGTGTAGCAACATGGATGGATCTTGAGGGTGTTATGCTGAGCGAAATAAGTCAGGCAGAGAAGGACAATTACCATATGTTTGCACTTTTAGGAGGATTAGGAGGAACTTAGCAGAGGATCGTGGGGGAGAAGGGGGGAAATAGTGAGGGAGAGGGAGGGAGGCAAACCATGAGAGACTCTTGAATGCTGAGAACAAACTGAGGACTGATGGGTGTCTGGGGGAGGGGGTGATGGACATGGAGGAGGGCACTGTGGGGATGAACACGGGGTGTTGTATGGAAACCAACTTGACAATAAACTCTTAAAAATAAAAAACAACCCATAAATACCTAGCACAATCTGCCATAAAATACTCCCCTACAACAGACAAGCACTGTTTGGAATAAAAGCTTAACTCAATAGGAAATTATGCACTCTCCATTAACATGGCCATTCCCAACAGTTCCTATCTCCTGACTGTCTATAGACTGGGTTAAATTTGAAAATTTTACAAGTTTACAAACCAAAGTCAATATATACTAAATATGAAACTCCAAGGTTCAGCGTGAGGGGGCCTAGGGCTACAGGAGGATCTCACAGAAAATGATGGCTCTCTGTGTCAAGCTGTGTGTAACCACAGAATGTACAGGACCCACTGGCGGCTATGCCAAAACAAAGGCAGGTTAGGCCTCACGACACGCTTATGAGCTCCAATGCCATTTCTTCACAAAGGTCAATATCCTACACTGTGCCTTTTAATATTAGACCAGAAATTCTGGGGGAATGAGAGATTAGAAAAAATAATCCATGTTTCAACGTCCACTTAACATTATTAACTGTTCATAAAAGCTGTGTTTTCTTTCCTTTGATTTTGTTTTCAAATACTGGCAAAAGCTTTAAACCTTCCAGGAAGAGATCCCATTTTGTTTTAATGACATTTTTCAAGAACTTGGCAATCTTTTTATAAGCATTATATAAGAAAATATTTCACTTAAATAAAAACTTCACAAAGAACTCCTAAATGCAGGTAGTGTGCTACAGGAGGAGCAAGTCGTTCGCTAACACCACATGGGTCTCTGGACCAATGAGTGGAGTTTGATAGTAATTCTTGGTACAAGAAAAAAATAAAATGAGTAAAAATAAAAAATAATTACCATTTTGGGATTATCTACAGATGACTTCATGAGTTCCAATACTGCAAGATCTAGATTTTTCAACAATTCAGTGTTGATGGTCTCTGAGAACAAGCTGTAAAAATACTCTCCGTGACAGAAGCTGAGTGCGTCTCTCTGGGCTGCTCCTGAAGGTGGCGCACACAACACCGCCGTGTCCACGAGAAGATTCACAAGGTGCTCACACTGTGGAGAAGCAAGGGAAGGTACAATGATAAGAGTATGTATCTTACCTGTGATAGAAAGACTCCTGGAAAGTTGCTAACCGTGAGAGTGGAAAATCACACAGTAAGTTCTAAAGAGAACCTGGTATTTGAAGGCCTGCGTTCAAGTTTGAATTGTACACATTTCAATGAACCTGTACTTTCCAGGGTTCATTTTGGGAAAGAAATCTTCCCTGACTTATGTTTCCCCCAAATTTCCAGAAAATTTTGTTGTTGCTTTGAGGAGAGAGGACAATAAGAGTATTTTTAGACAATCTAAATATGTAATTTGTTTACATTACATGAACAAAGGGGCAAAGAAGGGCTTTCTGCTACAGGAGGTAGGGAGGACAGATGGGAAGGAATGAACACACAGGATGGTTAGCAGGTCTCAGCTACAGCAGACACTATTTGAGGCCAGCCCTATATGGTTAAAGAGCCACTGAGTTATCTTTCTGTAGAGCCTCTGGAATTATCCTCCAGGGTGCTCCTAAACCAGCCATCTGAAGTTTAATAAGGACAGGAGAAGAGGAAGCCACTGTGTTAACACAGACGGTTTTATATTCACAAATGTTCTCTCCTTCTAACGTCTTTTCAGAAACAAAGTGGGATAGACAAAACCACAGTTTAAGAAGAATCTTATCCTATTTCTTTTATTTAAAAAAAACTTTTAGAAAGGAAGTCAGATCATACAAATCTATTAAAGTACTTGTGTAGCTAAGAACTTACTAAATTCCAACTAAATTCCTGCTTTTAGAAACACACTGCAAATGACTATCATGAGGATAGCATAACATGCAGCTGCTGTTCCTACCAGTACTCCAAAAGCAAAGGCCAACTCCAGAAGTCCGCTGGCTAATCGCTTACAACTGGGGTCTAGTGAAGGAAGGCACTGTCGGTCATCTCCAGGTGCAATGCTTTTATAAACCAGGGAAAGAAGTTTTGTGCCAACAGGATACTGATCTGCAGACTAAAATAAAGTCAATACTGAAATATCCAGCAATAAGATATTTTATAGAAACAATTTCATACCTTTCATTAATTAAAAAAAATCCATAGTCATTAACACTGAAAACTACCTTCCAATTGTCAGGAAATTTTTCGCTCAACTTTGCTTTCCATGTTATATTTTTTCTTTAAATTGCCTAGCCACAAGGCACAATAGCAGTCCCTACAGTTCTTCAGCAAAGCTGCGGTAAATATAAATGTCCTTTATTTTCATTTTATACTTATAAATTTGTATATTTATATTCTGAGTCAACACATCTGGAACAAGTGATTCTTTTTTTTTTTTT